AGACACATTTTACTAGAAACGCGGAATTGCATTTTAGTCCTTAGGGGGTGAGAACGCATCTGCATTTTGATTTTTAATCGAGGGTAGACGTAGATGTCTATACACCATACAATTAACATCAAGTGGACTGCGTGCTCGTTTGTTACCCTTATTCAATAAAATAACGATGTCATAGTAAGATAAATGTACGCAGATTTTAATTGGATATTAGCTTGCTTTTCGAACTTCTACAGCCTTCCTGATGGTTAGTGGCTACTGCAGCCCATAAAAACTCACCCAGCTTCTAACAGCGAACGCTACAGATGTCATCTCTTAGAGCTAAGATTGAATGTCTCATAGCCTGCAATTATACTGGCTCTGTATACATTTCAGATCAATCCGCAGCCGTGTGCGTCACGGCGGGAACAGGTAAGAAAGTTTTATCTCTTACTAGGTAGCAAAACTTCGTTTCTGCCTAGACATGCGTCTGGATATTTTTCTATGAGACTGAGGTAACCAACGAAATAACAGTTCACCTGATGGCAAGAGGTTACTGCAGACCTTGGACACCTGCAGCTAACTTTAAACAAAAAAAATACGGTTGACCCTACAGGCCATCGAAATTCTCAGGAAGGTCAGAAAATTTTAAATTTTTCGATAACGATTTCTCTTGAATAGTATAGATTAGAATAAGAATCGAATAATTTTTTATTCAATATACATCACATGTGTAATTCTTATTGAAAGTCATTTTTTACTTTACCACTGGTTCGAAATAAAACCCTCTGTCCTGGGAAGAACAAGCAAGAAACCCATCGGGACTTTTTTTAAAGTAAATTTACATTAATGGTTCTACAAACCATTTACAAAAGTTATTTTAGAAACTGCTTGGAAGCGACCACCTCATTCCCAGGGTTTATTATCAGCCATGTATTCATTTATGTATATTATAATAATCACGAGTTGAATCCGTCGATTGACCTCTCGGTCAAAGGTGGACTTATCTAGTCGGACTATTTGTCCCAGGTAAACATACTCGTCAACAACTTCGAGCTTAGTGCTCCCAACAACTACCGGCATAGGTGTGACATGGACGCTAAACATAACTTTTGTTTTGTCCATGTTCATCTTAAGACCTATACGTTGTCTCCCAATTTTAAAAACTATTGAGGCCATTGAGCATAGTGTTTAGTTCCGCCAGCGATTGTGCCATAAGGACTATACCATCGGCATCGAAGGTCGGCATTGAAACCGTATTCTTTCCAGTCCAGTAGCTTGAAAACGTCTTCCAATGCAGCGGTGAAGAGTTTCGGGTATATTACGTCACTCTGTCTTACACCTCTCTGCAGTTGGATAGGTTTCGTACTCTGATTCTGTACTCGGATAGCCATCGTAGCCCTACTGTACAAACACTTCAGCACTTCGATACCGACAGTCCACTTGGCACCGCTGGAGAGACTGTAGCACCGCCCAAATTTCGATTGAATCAAAGGCTTTCTCATAGTCCACATACGCAAGACAAAGTGGCAGATTGAACTCGTCGGTCTTCTGTACAATTTGTCAAAGGATATGTATGTGGTCTATGGTGCTAGAGCCTTTTCGGAAACCGGCTTGTTCGGGAGGCTGGAAGTCGTGGAGTCTGTGTGTGATACGTTTCGTAATTCGACTTTCGAAAACAGCACGTAGACGCGGCTTAGAAGGGAAATCGGTCTATAGTTCTTCAACAGAGCGTTGTCGCCTTTCTTGAAGAACAAGACCACCATACTTCTGCTCCACGCCTCCGGTGTAGTGCCACAATGGAGGACGGAATTAAAAAGCTTCTGAAGGACTTTAGGTACCGGTTTTCCACCCGATTTCAGAAGCTCCGCTGTAATTCCATCCTTGCCTGGGGCCTTGCAGTTTTTAAGGTGCAGGAGAGCTATTCTAATCTCGGTCAGACTGACGTCCGGAATATCGTCGGAATAGTGGCGGATAAGACTTGTTCTTGGATCGTTACTCACATTTGCGTGTGGCTCCAACGATGATGTGTACAGCTGCCCATAGAACCTCTCAATCTCATTCAAAATCTCAGGTGTCTCGGAAACGATCCTGCCACATTCGGTCTGCAGCTTCGACAGTTGGCACTTTCTGGGAGACAGATCTCTGGCAAAGACTTTTGAGCCCTGGTTCCGCTCGATCGCTTCTTCAATACGAGCAGTATTAAAGTTGCGTAAGTCCTGCCGCATGCGTTTGGTGATCTGTCTGTTCAGTTGCCTGTATGCTATCAAATCTACTGAAGACTGCAACTTTAAGAGTGTGATCGGAGAGTTTTTGTGTTCTTCTGCGGCGGGTCTTGCAAAACTTAGCTCCAACCGCATGGACAGTTTCCACGAGCTTGTCAGTTATATCGTCCACTACATTGCAATCTTCTAGGCAATGAAAACGATCTTGTAACTCGAGCTGAAAGGTTTTGGGACTTTGGATTAGAGCACGAGGGGACGGGGACCTCTCCAACTTAAGATTTATGTTCAGTGTGCCTCTCACCATGTAGTGATCGCTGCCAGTTTTCACCCTAGTGATCACTCAGACATCACTGAACAGTTGCCGTCTGGTCGTCATAATGAAGTCAATCTCATTTTTGTCGAACCGTCGGGGCTCGGCCAGGTCCACTTCCTGTGGGGCCGCTTCTGGAAGAAAGAGTTCATCATGAAGAGTCCCTCTTTATCCATGAAGTCGGCCAGCTGCTAGCCCTTTGGGTTCCGATGCCCTATTCCGAATTTCCCTACTTTCAGCTCAACTTTCTCTCTTATGCCAAGTTTTGCGTTAAAGTCTCCCATTAACACCGTATAGTGGGTTTTGGAGGAATGCATGGCTCTAAAGATATCCTCATACATTTCTTCCACCTTCTCATCGGGATGTGCCGAGATTGGTGCGAAAACGTCTATGACCTTCAGTGAATACCGTTTGGTGATTCTGAGTATAAGGTCGTCACACAACCCTCGTCGACGCACTACCAATCTTTACAACGTAGTTAACGAGAAACTTGTGGACGTTAAATCCGACACCTCCTTGGGACAGATAGTCGCCCTCCCGGTGATAGAACAAGTTGCCGGATTCGAAGATTACCGTGTCTTCCCCCTATAATATTCTAGCGCAACTTGTCTATCTCTTCTTCCAGCTCCAGGATCTTCTCGTCAGTCCTCAAGGTGCGTGCGTTATAAGTTGCCAGGTCGAGTCGTCGTAGTTGGCAACCGAACCTCCACCGGAGATTCTTAGCACCCCCTGCCCCGCCGTTACCATGGTCGCTACCGTAGCCAGGAATAGTGGGGCCGCCGGGGACTGGGGGCCGTTTATTAATGTCATTGCTCATGGGAGGTATATTGCCATAGTTGCCACGCTTGGCGAGCGGGTTGGCAACCGCAGTTGTCCAGTCCATGTTCATCTTAAGACCTATCCGTTGGGAGATACTATTGAGGTCATTGAGCATAGTGTTTCGGTCCTCCAGCGATTCTGCCATAGGGACTATACCGTCGGCAAATCGAAGTCCAACTTCGACCGAGAGGTCAATCGACGGATTTAACTCTGCTGAGCAGCGTCCGGAAGATTACGACACATCATCTCGTCAGACATACCTCAAAACCTCAAAACTAGATTATTCAACCAGTGCGTGTTACCAGTGATGATCTACGGATCTGAGACGTGGTCTTTCACTGCTGGCCGTATGAGGAAGCTCAAAGTCGCTCAGCGAGCTATGGAAAGGGCAATGCTCGGCGTTTCTCTGCGCGATAGACTTGAAAACGAGGATATCCGTAGTAGAACCAGATTAACCGACATAGCCCAAAGAATTAGTATGCTGAAGTGGCAATGGCCCGGCCATACAGGTCGAAGAACCGACAAACGATGATGAAGAAATGTTCTCGAGTGGCAGCCTCGTACCGGCAGGTGAAGTGTAGGGCGTCCCCCCACTAGATGGAGTGATGACCTCGAAGTCGATGGATGCAGGTGGTTCAGGCCTGTGCTTTGTGGGCTTGGCAAGGCTTATGTTCAGCAGTGGTCTTGTGAAGGGCTGTAATGATAATAATAGTGATGAACCACTGACCTCTAATAATGCAATAAATAATATAATAATTTACATCAAATTTATATGGGACCACCCTTGACCTTGACGTCTAACCTATTTAATAAAAAAAGGATTATCAAAATTGGTTCACAATCAAGATATCGCGTAACATACATACAAAAAAAAACAACATTCGAACTAAGAACACCTCTATAATGATTTCTTATATTTACACGAACACTACACATTTAAATAAAACTAGTCCTCTTTTACCTCCTCTTTTTTTGAAGTCGGTTAAAATTGCAGTTTAAAGAACTAAATTAACATCCATTGATTGTTAAAATTGTATTGTCATGGGTTCTTAAACTTCTGCAGATTCTACAGATCTCCGGAAATGATTAAATACTGAATTAAATATTCAAGTACCTTCATACATACAAACATAAATACAGGTTAAGGTCTAATAAAAAGATGTTAGATGATGTCAAAATTAGGTATATCGATTCCAGCATTACATATTATCCGTTCTTTTGTAAGTTTGTATTGGCTCGTGCGCCATCTTGCGGCAGCCGCGATGACGTTGAAGTCGTCTGCGATACAACCTGCGGAGTCGCCTGCGTCTGCGGCGCGCTACACGCATCGACAAACAGCGCAACATACCAAGCCAGCCAGGTATCAGTCATCAGTCACAGTTGCCGCTACTTTGTGGTCGGTGCTCTCGCGCGCCCTTCCCTTTATGTATTATAACAACAGTTCGGGGGAGGCAGAGTGCATAAAACCACACCATAATGTAACTAAGAAACAGTGCACCTTTAGAAAATAAATTCCCCTTGCCTTCCCCAGTAACTAACGTCAACAAACTTTTTATTACTTTCTAAAACGTATTTAATTTTCCGCGTGTGTCTCATTTCAAGCTAGCGCCAACAAAACGTGTGTGTGTATAAATAAATATTAATTGTATAGTTGTTAAGTTACACTCAACATGACCATATCATACGCCGGGGAGGTTCCAAATGGCAGCAGTTTTGGTTGTTTCTGGCGGATCCTTTGCAAGTAAGTAAATGTGTCTGTAGGGAGCGAGGCCGTCGCACTGCAGTCTGGCCCGATGGTACTGGGTACCTACGAAGCAATTTTCGATCAGTCAAAGCTCAAACAGCTGTTCTCGGCGATCGTTTACGTGACGAAATCGCTGCCCAATCGTTCGTAATCTGTACTCACACATAATACGATGACAATAGCACCTACTGCTATTGTGTGGCGTTTGGCTTTTGTTTAGTTTATAAAATACCTATACTTCTGTCGTCGCACCATAATTTCGTTCTGCTATCATATTACCTATCTACTTTGTTATTGCCAGTCAGTCAGAGAGTTATACCTCTTATGGCCTTGAAGTCGTTGAGTCGATGTGATGAATATGATTTGTTCGAAGTGCCTTAGTATCGATTCAATGCCTTAGTATAGATTCAATGCCTGATCGCTTTGCTGTTGGCCCTGACAACGAAATGTGGCGAAAGTAACTTGTGACGCACGCGCCGATTGATTAATACACGAATCAAGCACAACAAATTTATTAAATTGTCATTTGGAACACAATTATCTATTGCTCTAAAGTTATTAAAACTTGAAAATGACACATTGCACTCTGTGTTACGTGGCCGTTCTATACAAATATGTTTTACGATCAATACCTTAACCATATAATAATACATTTTATTTTATTGGTTGCAGAATACTAAAATCTATATTTTCATTTTTACAACAGACACATTAGAATAGAGAGAGTGGATGAGATACCGCTATAACTAGTTGTTCCTACTTCAATATTTATTTTGTTCATTTTTCGAATGGATAACTCAACGGTAAATGTAACAAGTCACATTGAAATATAGTGTGCCTTCGTGTCGCATAATAAACGCCGTCTCAGACTCAATGGACTACAAACATATTTTAAAAACAATGTTCTTTCACAACAAACCATTGTATTAACAACCACAGGTCGCCAAAATAACAATTTCACCTTTTAAACACATTTCTATTTTCAGTCTTCAAGACAAGTTATTACATATTATCAATTAGGTAAACGCAATCTCAATAACATCATTTTGAACACAATAATTAAATTATTATTTTTACACAAAAATGATATCCTACTACTACTTAGGTATTATATATACTATTCCGATAACTAGGAAGCCATTTTTTGAGTATACAATTGTAATTAGGTATTTTGAGTACAACTGTAGTAATTATCTTTATTAGTATTTTTTTAATTATCACACAAAAATTATTATTATTATATATAATTAAATAAAATTATAGACTATTTTATACGTATAATAGAAAGTACAACTTACAAAATAATGCTTTATTGCTAAATCATTAAAGGCAGAGCATTAAAACAATTATTGTGGCGCGCTTAGCCACCGAAGTAACATAATATAAGAGTAAGACGCAGAACAGAACCTGCCTAGGAAAGAGGTCACGCAGGCACACCACATAGCATCAACAAGTACCTATTTTTTGCCTTGGGTTTTTATAAGTATCATGATTTGCATTAAACACTAACAATAAAGATGTTTTATATCAGTAACGATTTTTAATAACTACGACAAAGAAGGTAAAATAGTTGGAAGCAATATAAGTTAGCCACAGAGAATAGGTCTCAGGGTGCTTCAGTAATACTGCTAAGGTACGCACTTTGCTGAGCAACTATGGCTCTTTGTTTTACTATATAATATCCTTAAAAAAGTAATTCTGTAAGCTTCTTACTGCTGGTTAGAACTATAATGTATTATGTGCTGCTGGGTACAGGCCTCTCAACATTTCAGCACACAGGATCTCGTCTAACTGGCTAATTTTGAAACGATTCTCTACATCTACATAACTTATTTTATTTTTCAAATGTTTTGTTACGATTAATGACAAATAATTGTAAAAAACTTTTGGAAAATCCAAAAGTGTACACCTGGAACGCTCATGTAATGATTTGAATAATCAATATACTTTTACTAATTACCGAAACACGTATTTCGTTTAAAGCCACAATAAATTGTTTCAATTTAATTAACATGAAATTCTATGGACTGCTTACTAAAAAAAAAAATAGGACGGTTTACAATAGTGAAATGCAAAAGGCTCCCTAAGGATTAAAATGTGAAGCTAATAAAAAAACAAAGTGATAACTTCAGTTTTTCGAAAGATATCTTGTTCACTTCCATACCGACCAGCTGACGTCCAAGTAAAATTATTTTCAACTAACTTTTTTTCAATAATAATCAAAATAAATAATCTTATAACTACGTCAGAAGTATTAAATGAAATCTTCTCTTGCTATTGGTGTACTTTGTTTTTATATAAGTGCAATACAAAGCAGGTGGAAGTGATTTAAGTTCAGTGGATTGCGATTTTTGAATTTGGTGACAATAGAGCACTGCTTATCTGCTGAGAAATTTTAGTTTTAGTTTTGCGTGGATCGTTTTACGAAATTATTCACAAATTTATTGCAAACAATCATTATTTTCTGAATGTTATAACAAGCTTTTCGAATTCTACTGGTAAATGCATTTATGAATGATATCAATACAACCATATGTAAAACCCAAACTCCATTTTTGTACTAATGTTACGATTAGTTTCGAAATTTGAATGACTGAAACTCAGGACGTGTTGTAGTAGTGCTCTAGGTGTTTTGACCACTGGGCTACGTAGTACTACAAATTTTTCAATAACAGTATAATGATAGTGTTTTTTTTAACTTTTTTAATTTTGTCCTACAATGTCTTTAGAACGGATCAACAGATCGAGATGGGCGACACGGCGTTCGAAAGTGTTCATTGAGACTTCGAGCTGCTTTGCAAGTCAATCGCTCGAGCCGTTTCAAAGATTTTCAAAAAATAAAATCATAGAAACACAAATTAAATAGATTTTCGAGCGTTGCGCTCGAAACTAAGCGGGAAGTTAGAAGAACGTTTTACGTGGTAGAGCCATGCTGCAGCTGTATTAGTAGTATAGTTGTAGCACGAATGGGTCGGCTCGACCTGGGAAGGACCACGCTCTCACAGAATACCCGCGTAAAATGGCAGCTTGACACTGCTGTGTTTCATTTGGTGAGTGTAGAGAACCGGAGACCCTTTTTACTGGAAAAGAGGCATTCCATCTTCGTCCTCACGGGTGACAACGCATCTGCATTTTTATTCTTTATTGAGGATAGATGTGAATTTCTATGGGTCACAGCAAACACTTACCATCAGGTGGACTGTGTGCTCGTTTGTCACCATATCCTATAAAGAAGAAAAAAGAGTTAAATACGGTTGACTCTACAAGCCAGGGATGGCCTGCGGGGTCGGCCGTATTTTTTAACTAGTGACAAACCAACTTACAGCCTACATGTTGATAAGTAGCTAAGCAATGAATACATGCAGCCTACTTCAAGCCAGGAAGGCTTCAGACGGACCTCTAAACTCTGAGGGCAAGTGGGAATGCCTCACAGCCTGCAATAGTACTGGATCTCTATACTTTTCAGGCTGGAACACAGCCGTGCTGCTGAATGGCGGCAACGTTATACCTATCCTAGATAGAAAATGCGTCCTATTTTAGTAATAATAATGTAATTTTAAATAACAATTTTCGTTTAAATAAAATCGGTTATCATAAAATAATTCTTAACAATCCAGAAACACATATAATGGAGTTTCTTTGAGCATATATCATTGAACAAAACTATATTTACGGATTTTATTGTATTTAATTTACTTAGTTTTAATTATAAATAGTAAAAATACATTTTTTCGTAGTATTCGCGTAAATATAAGAAATCATTATGGCGATCATTATTCAAACTTTAAACCTGGCAAAAATACTATCACTATAGGCAGCCATATAGTGAAATTTGTTGCAAGTACATGTTACAAAATATTTTATATGTTAGGAACATACCATAGATATATACGAGTAGTATATAAATATATGTATTATACACATTTTGTAGATGTAATGACAACACAAGTTGTTAGTTACGATGTCGGTATCCTTTAAATTGCACGTAAGTCTTATCGTTTCATGGTCTCGGCAAAGGAAACATTCTTTGATCCATATACGTTCGATTTTTTTTTGCCTCGTGTATTATTTTTAATGTTTAATTTATACTAACGAGTGTTTGGTGGTATATGTATGGTTCTCAAGTTTGATATTTAATGATATGTTTATACCATAGTATGTATTTATATCTTGGATAGTGAATTTTGTTGTAGGTTCTTGCGCATCTGTTAATTTGTTCTTTATTAGCCCATAACAGTAAACTGCTGAACATGGGTTTCACCTAAGTAAGTTTGCTTTGCCATAATTTTCACACTTGCAGGCGGCTATCGCGGTACCACATGTTTCATCTGTTTAGGAAAACTCATATTTATTCAAATTTTAAAAAGATCGGTAAAGCAGCAACGTGTCTATGGATATAAGAAGTTTTTATTAAGAACCGATTTTCGCGCTTACTGATTTTAAATGATTAGGCAAAATGCAGATTAATTAAAAAAATAAACAAGCAATTTCTATCAGAGCGTCATCTATGATTTGCTAAGTGATTTATTGCAACAGAAGATCTAGTTTATAGACGTTAGCTCAGTACTTTCGATTTACACATTATCAATATATTGCTTGTGTATCATGTGTCAATGTTTCCGAACCACATTCATGTAACTTGCGTTAAGATTTATCTCGTAAAAACCATACAAGTAAATTGCCTGGCAGAATTTCAATTCTAAGCCAAGTGTATTGGCGTGAAATGAGATAATTTAAACGAAGATGCAACTCTTCTGTTTTAGTTTTTTTCTGTCGCCTCTTTACAGCACCCACGGATTGATATGGGGTATTGGATTCTTTAACGCAGCCTGTACACGGCAATATTTATTTCTTTCCTTCTACAAAATAACTAATAATATTTCTTTTAATACATGTTAAAGTAGTGTGGTAAGTAAATTTCATTAAATCAAATAAATCATTTAAACATTTAGTTTAATATTTTTTAAAAGTATATATATGTACATATATAAAAGGCT